GCATGGAGGAGCTTCTTGGGAGATGACGATGGGTAAGGATGGTACAGAGCCAGGACAAGAAGCAGTAGCAAACACGGGAATACACCAGGCAGCATCGCATCGTATATACACCAATGCGATGCCACCGTGGTAGTTGAATCATGAATGACAAGATTACGGAATTATCTCTTACCTTGGGCGAGCCATTGGCCGCATTATTGTTCCAACCTGCGTCAGACACCCTCCTTTCTCTTGTAGTGTCAGTCAACGGATCGTAGTAGCTGCTCGTAGCAGGCTTCTCGCGCGTCTGATGCGACTCGGGTGGCGGGTAGTATCCGCTCGGGGGGTGCAACGGCGACAACGGCGGAGCTTGATGATGTCCAGCTCCCGAGCTGCTGCTGGCACCGCCGAGCGCGGGCAACGAGGGCGCAAGCGGACCGCCGGCAGCCGTCGAGGAGGAGTAAGGATTCGGATGCGACAGGCCGGACTGATGGGATCGCGGTGAGTGATGCGGGAGCGTATGGGACGTCGACGAGGCTGCTTTGGGCGACGAGTAGGAAGAGTGCGGGGGGTGATGGTACTCGGACTGGGTAGGCGATCGCAAGTTGAAGCCCGAATGGCGCGTGCTGCCGGGCGCGGGATTCATGATGTCGCGATGGCGGCGGCGGTCGCGATCACGGTCGTCGTCGCGATCATCGTGACGGGAGGGCGCCTGCAGGACCGTCGAGCGGAAGTCTTTAGGGTGGTCCATCGTGACGGGATGCGGCGATGGCGTCGTTGTCGCAGAACCCTACTCGACTTGTACGCGGATGGCGCTCGTAACTGGACGATGCAGTAGTGGGTGGGGGAGGGGGGTTTGGATGAGGAAAGAAAGGAGAGGGAAGAGAAGGGGAAAGGGAAGGGGGAGAGGGGATTGATGACTACAGCGAGGATCGCGGACCCATGTGCAAAGCAGAATGGGTGGTGGACAATCGAGGGGAGGTGATTGGGTTACGCGTTGGGGGTTTTGGACAGGAGTGAAGCAAGTGAGGCGGATCGCGAAAAAAGGACGTGGAGTCGGAAGTTGGCGTCGTGGGGAGGTGCAGGGGTGTGTGGTTCAAGAATTGGTGGTACCGTGGTATGGGGTTCGATGGGAAATGGTGATGGCGGGCGTCGGTGATGCTATTCGCGGTGCTCGCGGCAAGGTTGAAATGAGCGGTCGACCGAGAAACCTGAAGAACGGTGGGAGAAGTGGGTGGCGATGATGGAATTGTGTGTCGGATCGAGAGTTTTGGCGGTATGGAGTGCGAATGTCGGAGCTAAGGTCGGGGGAACGTAGATGAGGATGGGGCGGAGGATGACCTGTCCCTCTGACACGACAAGAGAGCGAGAGAGAGAAACGAGAAGAGGAGGCCAGACCAGCAGGACGGGTGGTGGATGTGGTAGTGGTGGTTATGGTGGTGGCCCAGGTTCGGCTTTGCAGACTGCGATGCGATGGATGGGCGCGCAAGCAGGGTTGAGTCTGCGCGGGTGGAGTATTGGAGATGCTTGAGCCTTGAGCCTTGAGCCTTGGGGAGGATGTCCAACTCCACAGTCCGTGTTGCTTTGCGGCTTTTGGCTTTGGCTGTTGTCTTGGGCCCTTGGCTGGGCGGTATCACCGGGTGTGTCTTGGAATGAAGCTAGCTGAGCTGGAGCTGGAGCTGGATCGGTGATGGGCTGCGCTGCTATGCTGGTATGACCTTGCCGGGGTATTCGTACGTGTGTGTGTGTGTGTGTGTGTGTGTGTGTTGTGGGTTGTGAGTGTGTACGGAGTATGTGTGGTGGTGAAGGCGTCGTGTGCTGGTGGCGACGATGTCTTTAGAGCTCTTCGTGGGTATAGTACTCTGTGTTGTGGTGATGATTGACGATGATTAGGAGAGGTAAGGAATACCGGATTGATGGTGTATCCGTCAATGTTGAATGGAAAGAAGAGGAAGCAAGGGAATTGTGAGTGCGTCTTGCCAATCGGGTGTGTGGGCGGGCGGACTTTGATGCACTTGGGACTCGGAGAAGAGCGAGAGCAACCTGGAAGTGAATGGATGAGTGAGCGATCAAGATGAGACTGGAGAGAAGGGGTGAACAACTCGAGCCAAGTGTGTGGGTGATCCAATGGTCCAAGGATGGGATGGGATGGGATGGGGGGTGGGTGAGGGCGATGCCGATGCAGTCGAGTGGAAGACCCCGTCCCCGTCCGTCCCGTTCAGTTCCAGACTTTCCAGACTTTCTAGGCGTGTCTCCAGTTGTTGGCTGTCGTAGTCCAAGATCGTCGGGGATGTGCGATGCGATGCAATGTGTGCGGTGTGTGTGTATGTGTACTGGATGTCTTTTCTCGACAGTATGCAATGAACAGAATCGTCTATTATGAACCAGAAAAAAAAAACCCTCCAAAAAAACCCCAGGATATCTATCAACATTTAGAAAATCAGCAGCATGGGAAAGAGCAATTGCAACGAAATCGAAGCCAAAGGAAGGAACGTCCTGGTGGTACATCGTGTGCCTGCCTCCACGTCCTCACCCAGATCCCAGGGAAGGCGCGACCTGTCAGTTCCTTCTCCCGTGAGGATCCCCCGATTTCATCAATTTTGGGTGGTTCGTCAGTCGTCACTTCCCTACCGTCAAAAACTCGCGAGTCGCAAAGGACAGGTGCGAGCAGGTGCACCTGCACCAGGCGCGCTCCACCGTCCAGGTACCTCACCACCGGGCTGCTAACTCGGGGCTAGCGCAGATGCTCCCGCCAATCCCGGGCCACCTCTGAGCCTCTTGGGTTGCTTCCTCCTGTTCGTGCCTTCCTTGCCCCCCGGCCGCCCCGTCCCCCCCCCCCCCCCCCCCCCCCCCCCCCCCCCCCCCCCCCCCCCGCCCCCCCCCCCCCCCCCCCCCCGCCCCCACCCGACACCCCCCCCCCCCCCGCCCCCCCCTCCCCTTCCCCCCGCCCCCCCCTCCCCCCCCCCCCCCCCCCCCCCCCCCCCCCCCCCCACTTCAGTCCAGACGACTTGTTCCCCTATGTATCCCTCACTGTGATGTTAGTTGGAAAATACAACACGACACATCCTCTACCTGTGAGGCATTTCAGCCGCCTTCCCCGTCCCACGCTTCGGCTGCTCTGGGCCACCACCCTCTGCCCTGACCAAGTCACCCAACACTCGTTGCTCCCGTTGTTTTCAGACGCCAGCCGCCGGAAGACTGTAAAACACGACCAGCAACCGGCGAGAATGAAAGAGATGCACCGCAAAGGATCTCGTCAGCTCTGCAATCATCAAAAGGGAAAGCCTCCAAAGAAGCCTGGGATATACGGGAGTAGTAAGCCACCCATTTGTACTTGCTGCTGATGCATCTCCCCAAATGACCGTCGGCTCACACAAACCCCTTCTGGGAATGGCCTCAATTGCTCCCACATGACCAGAAATCACCATCACCTCGGCAATCAGGTTGCGAAAAAAAAGACCCCCAATAACCATCCCATTCAGTGACGAAGCAGATATAACATTGACATTTCGCACCAAAAAAATCCATCTTGTGGGATTATCTCAGTACATCATCCCTTCTACGCAACGAAGATGACGCACAGGACTACCTCACCTAAGATGATACCAGATGTTCTGGACCGAATCGCGTGGTGTGCACCGGCGACAATCGCCCCCTACCGTGGACGGCATCGGTACCTCATGATGGATCACGAAGTGGGTTTCCCAGCGACTTCTCCAGTTCCCGCCCTCCGAAACCTGCTGCAGCGTCAGCCCCCAATCGAAAACAAATTGAACCTTTTTTTTCCCACTTTCCCCCCGTCAGCCTTTGGATTCAGGGTCGAACCATCCTCCCCTTTTCGCCCTTCTTTTCCCCCGTCCCCGTCTCCCTCCCATCTCATTCTCGCGACCGCGATGTTGACTCAAATGTCAATCACGTTCCCCTTCACAGGTATCTCTAACAAGTCATCAAGAAAGAGATATCTACCGGCAATGCCAGGAACAAGGTAGCCTTCGTGCCTGGGAGTACCAAAAAAAGCCAACAACATGGTAAAGGTAATCAGGGGACTTGGAACATGGGCATCCATGATCCATCCTGACAGAAATTGGTAGTGCATCGCACCCTCGGCCATGTACCTAATCAGCAAACTCGACCCCAATTCCATCACGCATGCCCGTCTTTGCTTACCTCATCCCACCAAATCCCCAGATGCATGATTGGCTGCCCCCTGGCCTGAAAGCACCCAGCTCCGATCTAGCCGTTGTATCCGGGTCAGAGCTCCCGTGCGATTTGGATCACGTGCAATCTTTGCCTTTCATTCATCTTCCTCTCCAACTCCTACTCTGTGATTCGCGAGCTTTTGCAGCCTCGTATGCCATACCCCTGGGGCATGGCTTGACCTTTCTCCCTCTAGTGTCACCATAGTCCAGCCACGGTCATAGTATCTCGTATGTAGAATCTGGAAAAATAATAATAATAAGAAAATTGATTTGACGCGTAAATAGCAGTCTACTTGATTCAAGGCATCCACAATCGCCAGTTCATCTCTCTCCTATAGCCTTGCATTGTCGACCACAGTATGGAACACATCACAATCGTCTCAAGATCAAATGCTTCTTAAGTTGCTCAAATCAATGGCTCATGGCCTCTATTGTCCTCGTCATCTACACAAAGACGATGGAAAACAAGAAAAAAAAAAGTTCGCAGCTGCAGATATCTATCTATCCCATGCCGTGCCAGCAGCCGCCCTGATGGATGCTGATGATGTCTTCCCCCGATGCCGTCCCATGCCCGCTTCAATCTCTTTTCTCACCGTTTCCGCCGTCTCGAGAGAGGGAACGAGGGGGGTATAGGTTGTCCGTTTCCCTCATTTCCGCAGCAGCCCATCCGGCTTGGTCGTGACGGTCATGGCGGCACTTTTTTTTTCATAAAAGTCATGAACAAACACTTTTTTGTTCTATTTTCCTCCCGGGGAGAAAGAAACCATACGCTGAAGAGGGAGATGCATCCGAAACCAAACATGTCTCGTCACCGAAACTGTTTTAGACAGCGCCGGCAGAAACCATCTTCTTGCGAAGGTAGTTCTTGTACGCTCCGATGGAGTCGCCCCAAGGCTTGATGGTCCGGTCCTCGCACACGAGAATCTGCTTGGCAATCTTGTCAAGAAGTCTATGGAAGAGTTAGTATCGAGAACATCTAAATACACAAGCAGAGGGTGGATTCTTACCTGAAGTCGTGGGAGACGACGATAACACCACCGGAGAAGGCGTTGATGGCCTCGGCCAGGGAGTCAATGGTGGGAATATCCAGACCGTTGGTAGGCTCGTCGAGCAACAGCATGTTGGGGGACTCGATGGCAAGCAGAGCGAAGACGATACGGGACTTCTGTCCGTCGGACAGGGTGCCGATCAGGGAGGTCTGGGCCTCACCGGTCAGACCGTAGCGGCCGAGTTGCTGGCGCCAGTACTGGTAGTCCTGGGACTTCTCTGCGTACTTCTCACGGACAAAGTCCAGGGCGGACTTGGTCAAGTCGAGCTGCTCAGCGCTGTGCTGGGAGTACAGACCAAGCTTCAAGTGGGTGTGGCGGGTGACGGAACCGGCGGTGGGGGAGAGCTTGCCGGTCATCAGGCGCAGCAGAGTAGACTTGCCAACACCGTTGGGTCCGACAAGCGCGGTACGGGAGTCCATGTCGAAACCTAGGTCAATGTTACGGTACAAGTCGTCCTTGGGGTCGCCAGAGTAAGAGAAGGTAACGTCGTCGAAAGACAGAACGGGAGGGGGTAGCTTCTCGACGTCGGCGAAACGGAAGGTGAAGACTTTATCGGGGATGACGGGCTGGATAAAACCGTCGGCCTCCATCTTGTCGAGAATCTTCTGACGGGACTTTGCCTGTCTGACCAAGTTGGCGTAGGTACCGGCGCTGGCAATGAACTTCTTGATGTGCACAATTTCGTCCTGTTGCTTCTGGTAGGCCTTCATCTGGTTCGTCTCCTGCTCGGTACGGGTTCTGTCGTAGATGTCGTAGTTACCTCCGTAGTAGAGGAGCTGCTTGCCACGCATGTCGATCATGGTGGTGCAGACACCGTTAAGGAAATCCATGGAGTGGGAAACGAGGACCAAGGTACGATCCCACTTCTTCAGGTACTCCTCAAGCCACACACAGGCCTCGAGATCCAAATGGGCAGTAGGGTCGTCGAGCAACAGCAGCGAGGGCTTGACGAACAGAGCCTTCGCAAGAGCGACACGCATTCTCCAGCCACCAGACATGTCCTTTGTCTTCTTGTGGATGGTGACCTTGTTGAAACCCAGACCGGTCAAGATAAGGGAGGCGCGGGTAGAGAAGGTAGAGGGGTCCATCTTCTCCATGTGCTACGAAGGCTGTTAGATCATGATCGGTTTCTAGAGGTCTTGGCCTAGGCTTTCAGGTCTAGGCAAGCAAGGGAAGCGGAAGCGGAAGCGGAACATACCTCGTACAGGTCCATGAGGACAGGTGACTCGGGACCCTCGTCCTCGAGAATCTTCTCGGCCAACTTGTCGAGACGCTCCATCTCGCGCTCGGCCTCAGTAACGACCCATTCAAGGGCACCGAGCTCGGTGGGAGGAGCACCCTCGTTCAAGAGGTAGATATCGACGTGCTCGGGAATGGGGAACTCGCGGGCGGCAATGGCCTTGAGAAGGGTGGACTTTCCGCAACCGTTCTCTCCCAAGAGACCGTATCGGCGTCCATAGGTCAGCTCGAGGGTGGTGTCGTTGAAGAGGACGCGGCCGTGGAAGACGAGGGAGGCACTGGTGATCTTGACGTCTCTGCTAGCCTGGGTGGATGCCAGAACACCGGTGGTGACACGGTCGGAAATGCCGTGCTTGTCCATCTGGTCGGCGAGGCGCTTGATCTCTTCCGAGTCATTGTTGGCAGCGATTTCATCGCCGTTGACCGATGAGGCAGTCGTGCTGACATTCTTAGAGCCCTTCTTCTTATCGAGCTTGCCCTCGGCGGCCTTCTTGGCGAGTCTCTTCTCCTTGGATGAGGAAACCATGATGACGGTGGTTTGTGGTTGATGGCGGGGTTATTTTTTTTCCCTCTAAGCGATGGCGGGGAACCTGTGGTCGCCCAAAAAGAAGACGGAGAAAAAAAGGAGGGGGGGATAAGGATACGAAGAAGACCTTTTCGTGTTTCCTAGTGATGCGTCGACGACCGTAAAAGTGTCACGCAGGTATCAAGTCGGCGATGAAGTCGACTGGGAGAGAGAGAGAGGAGAATTGGGAGGATGAGGCGTGTAGGAGAAAAGAAAAAATTCAAAGGTTGACGTCTGGTGGCAGGGTGACCACACACACAGAGAAAGAGACAAAGAGCGGCGGTGCGAAACACACACCCACCACCCCTCCCAGGCTGGAGAAAGGATGATTTTGGGTGGGGAGGGGCAACTGGACACACTTCACAGGCTCACACACAGCGCAGCGCTGAGAGCGGACAGCCCGCTCCATGCTGCGGCCAGGTTCCATGTTCGCAGAGTTGGTACCTTAGGTAGTGGGGCAAACGACCTCAAAATTTTGAAAAAGCTGATAAGCGATAGGGTAGCGAGGCGATAAGGCACCAACAAATGCAAAATGCATCTCCCGTGCACCGTGCTCTCTGCTCTTGCCCACCTCAGGAAACAGGTGTGATGCAAGCACGAGTAAGCGGTACGTACCCCGACCGCCTTCTCCGTTTGACTCCCGGACAGTGACTCTTGCGGCAAGAAGGAGGACCTTTTCTTCCTGCCTTCCTCATGGTCTTAAAGTGCCGGGTATTTTTCCTTGCCATTTCACGCAGGTGCTACGTGCTACATTGGCATGTTAAGGTAGTTCTTGGTGCCTTACCTAATAGAGTCTTGGTCACTCACTTGCAGTTCGAGGCCACCTTTCACGCGGTGTTTCCTGGGACTATTCTTACACGGTTCACGATTAATTGGGCACCTATCCCCTCTCATCTATTTCTTATCTAATCGTAATCATTCCCTGGAACTGAGGGTGGAAATGGGAAAGCTCAGCTGTCCCGCCCAAGACCCTCAAAGACCCTCAAAGACCCTCAAAAAGAGACCCTCCTCAAGGCTCAGAGACCCAGCCTGACGCCACTGTGCAGCAACACGGAGCCGCGGGGCTTGACGTCACGCGTCACGTGCTAATCCGCCTGACTTGATTGGCAGGGCCGAAACACGAGGCTGCCAACACCGAACCGGCTGGCCAAGGGCAGGAAGGAGCTGTTTATGATGGTTTGATGCTTTTTATTATTGTCCATTATTTGCTGCTAAACGACTGCCATACGTACTCCATATATCCCTGGGTATCAATCCAGCTGTTGTTAAAATCAAATGACGCTTGTTTCTGCGATGATCCTGCGGGGGATCCAGTGTTCCTTCTATCAATCCTTTCCGTTATACTTACTTTAGGTAAAGTAAGATGAATAGTGCCTCCTGAGCATCTATTCTCGATGGGTTCGAGAAATTACTCCAGTCTTTGAATCAGACTTGGAGCCTCTGTTTTGTTTCAGAGAGCCCACGTTGCGGCTTGTGTATGTGTTTGTAAATGGCCGGCCCTCTTCAAAACCTCGCCTGTCGACTACTATAGTCTCGAGCAACAGTAACCGTGCCGTCTGCTCCGGGCACAAAGCGAACATAGTGGTTCGCAAAGTAAGATAGAAGCAGCTTCCGCGGCGAGAACATCTCCCACGGCGTCGATGGCGGCACGGGCACCATCTCGCACAGCTCGCCCCTCGGGATGAAGACGACGTCAGAGTAATGCCGTCGCACATTGTCGACCTCGACAATGGCAAATATGAAGAGCGCAAAGTGGATCATCCTGCGAGTCTGTTGTTAGCCGCCATTCTCAAACTCAAAAAGGGGGGCCATATCTCCAGGCTCAAGCCAGAGAGGCGACAAATGGGAAAGACATACGTCAAGACAAACATGAAGAAAATTACCGCCGCCATGGTATGCGTCTGCCGCGGATCAACACCACCCAAGGACCCGCCCCCGTTTTGATAAAACAACCAATTCGAAATCACAATCCCCATAAACGCCGCCGTCGGCAACCAAATCAGCAAATGCGCAGCCACGTGGGCGCCCGGCTTCCCCCAACTGAACTTTGTACTCCGCGGCAGCTTCGTCGGATCGTTCTTCGTCCATCGGAACCCGCGATCGCGCACCAGCATCGCGCCTACATCGCCCGCGCTCCACAGCAGCGCCAGAACGGCCGTGGGACACCCGAAAGACCAGTTGTCGGCGATGAAGGCGTCGTCTTCCTTTTGCGAGGCGAGCGAGGCGAGGATGATGACGGCGTCGAGCATGGAGGCGAGGCGGAGGAGGAGGGTGGTGCGGTACATTGATCGGTTGTAGGGGATCGCAGTGAGGAAGTCGCCGTGGCGTTGGCCTGTGTCGGGCGGCAGGGTCGTGATGTCTGGGTGGAGCGGCGTGTTGTCCATTTTGATAGAGTATTTTCGGAGGCGGAGAGGTAGGTCTGCATCGCTGGTGATCGTCTAGGTCCTCCCCTTGGCCCCTTGGCGAGGGGAGGGGGTGTGTTTCCTTTCGTCTCTTCGGAGCCCGCGGGATGGGCGATTCTTTGGGGGATGATCGCGTGGTTTATGATGGCGTTGCCATTGAGGCTGTGGGTGATGCTCGAAGGTGAGTGTGTCGGAGGAGTGTCGTCTAGATGGCGAACAGAAGAAATCTCGAATGGCGCTCGGCTTGTTGTTCTGCGTTAGAGGGGCTGGGTTACGCGGCGAGGTCGGCAGTGAGGAGAATGAGCGTCGGCGGCGGCATGTTCAGGTCGCATGCGTTTTGGACCGGGGATGGAAATCGAACGGCGGACGACAAGCAACTCGGGGGCCGATGGGCCAAGGGGGAGGACCCAAAAGTTCGAACCCTGGGAAAAGATCAGAGGGCACCAACAGGGGGGCTACAGTACGTACCTTAGTACACTAGGTACCTTGCCATGATCCTTCAGGTACACTACCTCACACTACAGCGCACTACAGGGGGCACTCGTTCCCCAAAGTCCATCCATCTGTGGTACCGTAGCCAGTCAGATCTCTGTATTGTGGGCTCTCAGTGGGTCTGAGGCTCGTGTCGCTGGTCCTGGGTAGGGCCTGTCACGGCGCGACGAGCCCCTGACAGCCTGAGTATTGGCGACGAGCTAGTGCTGCGCCCTGCTTTGCGCTCAAGGGCTGGCACTTTGATCGACGCCATCTGAGTTGAAATGCCCGAGGATTTGGGACTGGAGTGAATTGATTTCAATCCTAAGCTACGTAGTATTCACATGATTGAGATTGATGATCTTGCGATTGCAAGATGACTTGGAGACGAAATCGAATGAAAAGAATGAATCAGAAGAATATCATGAGATGCTCATTCCTAAATGAGACTGTTCTACGCAGCCATGAGATACCCCCAAACGCCGTCCCACCTATCATGAAAATGCTACACATGAAATGAGTGAGAAATACACTCAAATGAGGTATCCAAGAGTAAGGTATACAGATGCCACGGAAGACAATTAGATAGACCTCGTCCTGCCGGCACTCCCACCCCTCGAAGACTCCCCCATCACCACCGGCATCTGCGTCATATTCACCCTATACTTCCCCTCCCTCGCGCTCGCATCAGCCGGTGTCATACCAGTCACGCTCGTAGCAAACTTGAAATCCACATCCCCCGGCAAAATAAGCTGAGGCTGCGCGTCACCCCGTCTCATCCGCTCCAGCTCCTCCGCGGAAGGCTCATAATCCGCCGGCGGGGGCCGCATATTCGGCCGAAGATGCCGGTCCCGACTATCACCGCCCGCCGGAATCGTGCGCGATGGGATACCTGCGCCCGGTAAAGGTTTCCGTTTGATAGATGACGCCGAAGACGGGGACTGATCGCCGGGCCGGTCGGGTAATGGCGGAGGCATCTCTTCTTGGAGTTGGGCAAAGTGGTGCCGTAGGGAATTGTTGAGCGGGCTCTGCGGTGAGCGCGGGAAGGATTGGGCGCGCGTCGATTGGGATTTCCAGGTAGGTAGTTTTGGAAAGGGTTTGGCGACGACGTAGACTGTTTGGCCTGTTTCTGGGATGTACATCACACGCGGTCTGCGCCGGCGGATCTCGCGGCTGCGTTCTATACAGGCGCGGATGAAGAGTGCCATGTGGATTGTTCTAGAGGAAGTGTGAGTATGGCGAGGGAAGGGTGAGAGAAAGGTGTGCTCACGCGCTGAGAAGCATAAAGATACACTCTACGAGAGCGAGGTTTAGCGGGTTGTTTCCTATCTGGTCATCCTCTTGGATGCCGAGCTGGAAAGCCAGCCAGCCTCCGCCAATGAAGCCGAGGATAGAGATGATGAGTTCCAGGCCAATGTGAGCCTTTGGCGTGATGCCGCGTCCGTGGCGGGCGCAGATGGTGAGGAATTCCCCCAAATCCCACATGAACGATGGCAAAGCCTAAATTTCGTCTCATGATGAGCTTCCTGCTGTATGAGATGAAAGGGCAAGTGACAGAACTTACTCCTGGCAGACACAGCCAAGGCCAGACACTATAGTTATCCCAAGGCGGGTACCCATACCACGCCATCATGATTATGAGGATGATGGCGCATAGCAGCGTCCCAACCAGACGGGTCACGATCTTGCAGACTTCCCATCGTCGGTCGCCCTGGTTCATCCACCGCACGTTGGTCGGGTCGATGGAGGCCGTCGGCGACGTTGGCTTGACGCCGTCCCCGTCCGAGGCGAGGGACTCGAGCTGGTACGACTCGGGCGCACTCATCTTGCGTCTACCGTAGGACGAGCATGGGTGAGATGTGTGTGTCCACGTCGCCTATCCTCCACCCTTTACGTCGTCGTTGCTGGTGGTGTCGAATCGTCGTTGATCAATGAGTGAGGTGTAGTTCCACAGTTGACGTTCCCAGCTCCCGTGTCTCGGTTTCCCTGCTGTTCCGGGGCATCGGCAGCTCAACCACCCGCTGAATAATAGTAGAGACGTAGGAGAGAAGCGCTGAAGGAGAAAAAGAACAAGCTTCTTTGCGGTAAGGTTTGGCGTTCTTGTCCTGACTCGTCCCGTAACAAGGGGGGGCGGCGTCAACGGCTGCGCCTCTTGTGGCACGTTCTCGGGTGATAATGCCGAGTCTGATGTGTCCAGCGATCAGGCCAAGACTTGAAAAGGCGTTGGACGGAAGAAATGTGAAGTAGGTCTGATGTTGGAATAAGACTCGGATCGGCCCTTGTCGCACCTCTCTTCCATCGTTTCAATGGAAAATTCCATCGTCTCCAGCAGTGGGAAAATTCCCCGGGGAAGGGAACGGCGCGGCATCATGCAGTTAATTAGCACTGACAGATTTAGGCAACCGTATTCTTGACGGCTCCACTCGCCTTTCGGGGGCCGACCGAATCCGTCCCTCCCTCACTGCAACTGTCACCCATTGCTGAACGGCTCAGCAAAGTTTAATACGCCATATTGGAGAACATTCGTTGACGTGAACGGAAAACGGCTCATGAGCATTCTCATGAATTTTGGGACGGAATGAATTGTAAGGTATCCTACACAAATTCCATGATGTGCAGGTCAGGAACAGTCACTCACCCACACATCTCACTCAAGTGGTACTTACTTTTACACAGCTCAGTCATGATGGGTAGGTAGGTAATCAACCACCTTCATTCACCAACTGGTCCCTGCCGGTAGTGAAGCGTCCGTCACCACCATTTATCAAACGACCAAAGAAATGATGCAAATCGAAGCCGACTTGCTGCTCTATCTACAAAGCAAAAAACATGCGATAGAACATCAAAATTGCAAAACAATTGGACACTGTGGGAATTGAACCCACGACCTTTCACAAAGGCGCGTTCCTGTCGGAAGTGCGAAGCGAAAATCATACCCCTAGACCAAGCGCGCGATGCTGATGACAAAGAAGGTCTGAGGTCAACCCAAGAAGCTCACGTGTCCCGTGCGCGCAAAACCTTCGCCTCGAGTGCGCTCGAGTGCGTCCTCAAGGGCCCGGATGCTCGACAGGACGATGTTGAAAAGCGATGGTGTTATTTCTGGTCCAAATCGCGTAGGCAGGAAATTTTGCGGAATTGTTTGTCACAATGGGTGGCGTAGAGTCTCAGGGCATCGTCAACCTCCTTTCAGTTTGATAATCCCCTCGCAATTCTCATCAATCACACTGTTGGGGAATATTTTGGTATTCCATCGGCGCCGATTCTCAGGTCATTCAACAATAGTATTCATACAGAGATCATTAGTCATACGCTGTATCAAACACATCCTACGCCTGAACATCGCTCTTCAACTTCTCGTACACAGTCTCTCCCCCAACCTCAGTCTGTCGGGGCCCAGCATCCCTTCCAGCCTTAGTCTGGCTCTTCAGCAGCCCCTGCTCCGCCACACGGCCAGGGTCATTCTCGCTGCCGACCTCGGCGTTGAAAGCAGCCTGCACTCCGTCCTTGGTATTCGCCGTGTCGAAGCCCTCGGTGATGTTCTTCCCGTGGGGCCCGTTGGGGTCGCGGACGTATTGGTTGTTCACATATGTCGGCGCTGCGGCGGCCTGATCGGGGATCGATGCGGCGCTAGACCCGGGAGCACCGCCGGTGCCGGTTCGGGAAGAAGCGGCGGTGGTGTCGACGTTGCGGTTGGAGGCGAATTCGCCGCCTTGGTTGGCGGACTCGGCTGCGAGGGAGCCGGCGGGGACGGGACCCGTTGCTTCGGATCGAGTGGGACGGACGTCGGCGCTGGGCTCAACCTGTGGTTTGTGTTAGAGTTTGGATTTCCGAAAAAAGATTGTCCGAAACAGGCTTGCGTGACTCCAGGGATGTCAATACATACCTTGGCGCCAGCACTCGGAGCTTTGTACTGAGCAGACATTTTGATAGGTGACTTGTGGCGGTTGTTTCGAGTGAAGATTCTAGGGGATGATGTTTTGCTGGGACAAAGCCGTCTTCAATGCTTTGGATATAGCTGTGAGGGTTGATTGTCCTTCTATTTCTTCATCTCATCGAGGTTCCAAAGCTGCCATTTAAACATCTGTTGAGCGCATGACATCATGTTGAGCTCTTCTCACATCAACTCAAGCCGGAGATAAACCTCCTGTCAGATACGCCGCACCCACAGGGGGATGACTTCAGATCCCCACAACATCGCCCGCAAAACAACGGCATGTCGTGGGATGGCCACCAAAATTACATCATGCGGTCGCCTTATTCTCTCCTCAACTGCACGCATCGGTGATCGATATGACTGAGCGATAGAATAAGTCGTAATTATGACTGTTTTGAAACCTCGAATCGACGACTGCAATCTCATCGGGATACAGTTGATCGATTTGGGCCGATGCCTCGGTGGGGACCGGTGGACACACCGACGCAAGCTGGAGAACTTCAGTCAAGATGACGAACACTGCCCTTCCCGCGGCTATCAAGTGCCAGATTCATGATTAAATATCTAAAGTGTTCTGTCGCATATCGCAATCTTCTTCAAATCTCATTGCAGTTGTTCTTTCTTACCAGTATGGGTATGTTTTCAAGTTCGGTCAAGTCAGAAATTGAGAGATAACCGTCGACTTGTTTTGCTTCTTAACAATAGTTACTGTGAAATCAGCTTTCTGCCCTTCTTCAAGACTCCTAGACATGACAAGGATAGTTGGCTGTCTGAAGACCTCCTTCCTTGCATAGAACATATGGCCATCCCTCTCAGATCTCCAGCGCTTATACCCAAACAAACAAATCAAATATGAGGTTCATATTTGATTGTTTAGCTAATTTCTCGCGCCATATTTGATTATTTAATAAATTTGACAAATATTTAATTAATTTGAGTAATAAGTAATCATAGAGTAAAGCTAAATATTAGAGGTGTAAATGGTATAGTAGATACGGCGCCGTAAGCGCCGAATTTTTTAGGGCGGCTCCACTTTAATTCCGGAGGTCCGGTGTTCGAATCCGGGTCCGGGCGGCCCCTTTTTTTCCGTATTTTCTCGGTATATTATTAGTATATTCGGGTCCACCCTTAGATTCTAGATTTGATCAAATATATCAAATATACGGGCTAGAATATTTGATTGTTTGACTCGCTGAAATTCCTATATTTGACTGTTTGTTTGACTTATTTGTTTGATTGATTTGAATGGGTATGTGCGCTGCAGATCTCTTCACAACGCCCAATTTGAAGAAGGGCTTTACGCCAATTCGGACCAGATTCACCAGAATATCATCAATTGCAAAGCGGATCACTCATGTTGCGTACCGAGAGGCTAGATCTTGGATCACAAATCCTGACTAATTCTTTTCCAAGTGCCCATACGGCGGTAAAAGCCTGGTCCGAGGAAGGAGGACTGCCCAAATCCCCCAGCGTTGACACAAATGCATCAACAAATATCACTATTGAGGCTGTATCAGGATTCTCGCTGATACTTCAAAGACAAAGGCTGCAGGAGAGCGGGGTGACGCACCGAATTGGGACAGCCGGCGGCTGGCACCAACACTGGACTTAGAAAGGCACAATCGCAAACCAACAAAACCATCTCAATGAGACAGGCCCTCAATGAGTGCCTCTGGCGCAAGCTGCAGGTCATGAGGCATGGCTTTAAAGGGTCTTGTTTCGTGTTATTCTCATAGAAGCCAACAGGCGTAATCCACTTTCTGCATGCAGCCGACCTTTTCTCATTACAGCTTGGATCTACGACACTGACGGCCCTTGGATACCCATGTCAATTGGCAGCGATATTCCCTTCTCAGTAGCAGGTAAAAGGAGAAGTGCGGTTCCCTCTGGCGTGAAGAAATATCGGATTCTCTAGGAAGTTTCTCCTTCTGGCAGTCGAAAACCGTAAAATAAGGGGGAATTAAGTGTGACTTGAATCACCCACCCTCAATATAGAATCCATGGATTCCCCCCCGCGCAATACAATTGATATTCTCTCAAGGTAGTCTGTAAAGCCTAGGTACTGAAAATCACATTAGTACTGTCGTTGACATTCGCCAGACCCAACACTTTTTTGGCAAGCATTGTGGTTCTTCATCACGGAGATGGACCGTGTCAGGAATGGACTGCCCAACACCGCTCTAGAACTGACAGTGCTACCCTTCACATTCGCTATGGTTGCGACATTTGTTTGCTGGCACCCAAAGCCGGCGATTTCCTATCCTCGGTACATCGAAACCAAAGTTTAGGACGAGGGGTTGGTCACTTTGGACCGGAACAGAAGCTTCGCCAGATCTCATGTGAGTTTCCTAGATCTCTCCCAATGTCAATCAACAACCAGCTACTTACATCCTCGTAGACGCATGCACAGCTTCGAAATTCATGGCACCATCCACCTCTCGATGACGTTCCCCCGCGGATCTTTCGCATAGACGCGTACTGTGCTTCTTCAAAAGGCTGGGCGACATGATGCATCTTTGTTCCAACGGGAGACCAACCAAACAGTAAATTTGCGATAGGTTTCTCTCCGAGCTGTGGCGACTTATTAACTAATGTACTACCCTCTTGGGGATGTCTTCATCGTTGCCTTCAAAGCTCCCTGCATGATCGGCTTGAACTTTCAATTTCCTACGCCAACGCAGCAGCTCGTAAGGAGGCTGACTGCGTCGTATCACGTGTTCTTCTGTATGTACGGGGCCTTGCACTGGCTCTACAAAGATCAGAAATGGCATCGTGCACAGAAGCGCCTCCATGGCGTCGTCTAGGTCGCGGATAAAGTTGTTAACGCGGATGCTGAAGCTCAGAATTACTCGTAAGAAGCCAGGACCTCGCCGACTCGGACAAAGGGTATTGTCCATCGGTTGATGACATTGGTTTGATCTTAAGTAAATAACTCTGCTGAAAAGGACCCAACCATGGCGGCACCGTTTTTTGTGATTCTCCATTCCTGGGTTATACGTATCATGTCAGATGTACTTCTACGTGAAAGACACTGTCTCCGGGAGTAACCCAAAGGGATAGACCTGACTGGTAACCGGTTTCTCCTATTCATTGGGGAGACGTGGTAGTACGGCATTGCGACAACAAGTAGAAATAATAATAATATAGCTATAAAACGATAGATTCTATTAGTATCCTTATTATAGGGCAGTTAGTTCGAACTATAGGTTAATAAAGAGATTAATTAAATTATATAAATATTTACGTAGTAAGTATAAAAAGAAGGTTCTAATTATAAGTTAAGCTAGTTATAATAATTATAAATAGGGCCCCTAATTAGCCCCTACGTAGTTATTTATATACCGTAATTAAATTAGATTTTTAATCTAATATTAACTTTTTTTTTTATTAATTTAATTATTATAATTAGAGGTATAATTTAACCTCGGGCCCGTTTACTAAGTTATTTCTTTTTCTCTTTTTTTTTTACTTTTTTTATATAATCTATCCCTCTATTTATATAATAACTTTTTTACTATTTATAAATTATTTTAATTTTTTATTTAGTACTATTTTTATAAAAGCGTTTACGAGGTTATTTTTATTATTAATTTAACGGATTTCGAGTATTTTACGCTTTTTATACGATTACTTAAGGATTATAATATTAATTATAAGCCTCTTTTTTTTTATTATTCTTAATTTAATAAAGTATTTATATAATAAGTAGGAATTAGTATAAATAACTATTAAAATAAGTAAAAAGCTAAGTCGATTAGTAATTTTCTTTAGCGTTATTAAAATTATATAAGAGAGGTTAACGCTATTAATTATATTATAAACTTTTAATACTAATATACTTCTTATTACCTACTTATTTTTAATTAATAAGTAATAGATTATATTATTATATATAATAAATTTACTTTTACTTATACTCTTATTAACTAAGATAATAATATACCCTAATTACGAAATAAGGTTATTATTATTTATAAATAATTTATTAATAAAGACGTAGAGCTTATTAATTATAAAGTTAATTAAATAGTAAACGAGGCCTTGATTAAGATTTATTTATTATTATTTAAGCTGCTTATTAAGTATTTTAATATCTTATTTAATTAGATTTATAACTTATACTACCTTAGTATAATTAAAAATTACCTCGAGTTAATAAATATTTATAATATATACCCCTTGCGCGAGCTTAGTTTTATATTATTTTTTAATATTAGTTATATTTAGATTAATAAGGTTAATTTTTTTACCCTACTCCTTTTATTAAAAAACGACAGTTTTCTTTTTAATTATAAAAATCTTATTATTAAATACTAAGGGGGTATTTATTATAAAGACCTTTTTTAGTTTTATTATAAAGCCCGCTTTTTAAAGCTTTTTATTCTCTTTTTTTATAAAGTTAATATTAAATAGGCTTAATATATCGTTAGTTTATATTTTAATAATCCTAAATTAGTTATTTTTATATTTAAAAACTAATAAGTACGGGTCGTACGTAAAAGTAATTATTAATAATTAATTAATATAAAAATCGTAATAAGTAGTTTACTAATAAGTACCCGATTTTACGAGCTTATATAGTAGCTTAAGTACTTTAATAATCGTACTTTTTAAGTACTTACTAACTATTTTTTTTAGTAAATAGGCTAGGATTTTTTTATAAGCCCTATAGCTAATTAAGTATAAGCTTAGGTAATATTATAGCTCTAAATTTCGTATCCCTTTTTTTATAATAATATTATTAATACTATTATTAATCGTTAGTTATAGCGTTATATAATAAGTAATTATATAAATAACGTCGCTTTTTTAACGTTACCGTACTCCTAAATTACGTATTTAGATTTTTTATATAGCTAGGGTGTTCTTTTCTTTTTAATTTTATAAACTATTTATAATTTAAATATATAGAGGTTTATATACTTCTCTAAGTTATAAAAGATAAATTAATAAACCCCTTAATTACGAAAAGTATTTATTTTAATAAGATTTAATCCCTTATATAGCTTTTTAGTAATTATAATTATACCTTTTTTACGTAGTTTAATTATTAGCTCGAAATCGGCTTTTTTTTTATTATATAAAAAGTATTAATTACCTCGTTATTAGTAATAAATTGCTACGTTAGGGCTTATTATTATAGTTTTTTATAACGTCTTATTAGTAATATTAGTACCTTTTTAATAATTTCTTTTTTATTATTATTTATTAGTATTATTATAATAATTTTATTAAGGATAATTTCTTATACTTTTACTACGGGTTATATAGTTTTTTTTAGCTCTTTTTCTTTTTATAAGTTAAAAATTACCTCGTTAAGATTTATATAGTATAGTCTAATTATTATAATTAATACTTTAAATAGTTAGTTACGATTTTTTATAACTATATAAAAGCGCTTATTAATAAAAATTAACTTATATAGTTTAGCTTATTATTAAGTAACTTTATACTATATTCGTATATTTAAATTTAATAATATATTTAAATTACCTCTTATATTAAGCTTATTATACGTAGTAATTACTTTATTAACTTACTTTTTTATATTTATTTTATATAATACTTATATTATTTTTTTAATTACTTAGGCTCGTTAGTTTATATTTAGTAATAATAGCGAGGCTAAGGTCGTTTTTAAATATATTTTAAATACTAATAGTATTAATATAAGCCCGTTAAGCCTTATAATATTATTATAGTATTTAAATACTATTTAGAGGTATTCGTTATTAATAAAATCGGGATTTTTTTTTTAATAATTCTAAACGCCCTTTTTAATTATTAGTATACCTTTTTTATTTTTTTAATATTATAATACGCTTTAATAAGTACGACTTTTAGTTATATACCGTAAGCCGTTATATTTTTTTTAAATTTTATTAATTTAAAACTAGTATTAGTATTAGTTTTAATATTATTTAGTAGTTTTTAATATATATTAATCTATCCCCTTTATAGGGCTATTTATACTATTTTTATTTATAAATCCTAAAAAAATTACTTTATTTAAAAAAATATAGCTACGTTAATTATATATAGGACTAGCCGACTATTTAAATAGAAAATATTAATAACGATTTCTTAATTAAAATTAAGCTTATTATATAATTTAAATTTAAATTTATATAAGCTCTGCGCATTTATTTAGTATTAATAATATACTTTTATTAACTATTTTAGCGCCCTTATTTTAATATTATTATTACTTAATTATTTTAAGAGGTTATATAGCTTTATAACTAACGGGTATCCGAATTTTTAGTATAGTTATTTAAGCTTATTTTTTATTAAATAATTAATTAATTTCGTATTATTAATAAGCTTTATAAACGTATACCCCTATTATTATTTAACTATTTTAAAATATTTATTACTAAAGATTCTATTCCTCGTATTATTAAATATAATACTTAGTTAATCTATATTTTTTAAATATAAAAGAAATAGGGTATTAATAAGTAAAATATAAAAAGTTATTATTTTAAAATACGTTTTTATTTTTATTATACTTAGGGTAACGATTTTTTTACTTAAGCTAAAGCTAATCTTCGTAATACTTATTATTAATATATTAAGCGTTATTAATACGATTTTTTATAGTACTTAGAATTACTTTTTTTTTTATTAATTATTATAATACCCTAGTATTTAAGATAATTTTATAAAAATTATTTAAGCCGTACTTTTTATTTATATAAAATATTTATATGAGTTTAGTATTTAAGTAATCTAGGGGGTATAAAAAGAACCCCTTTAGTTACTTTTAGATTTACTTAGTATTTTTTTTTCTTTTTTAAATATTAAGAAAAATAGCGTTTTTTTTTTTAAGTATTAAGAAAATAAACTTTAGCCCTATTAAATTTACTTTTTTAACTACCTCTATATTTATTATTTAAAGGACCTTTTTTTATTATTTATAAATAAAAGCCTACTTATTAAGAGCTTTTACTACTCTTTATTCGTTTAGTTTTATATATTTTTTAAAAACTAACGGGGTAAAAAAAGAGTAGTTAATATTATTAATTTTATTATAATTTAATTTATTAGTATAGGAGGTAAGACTTTTTTTATTTTTTAAATTTTTTATAGAGGGCGGATATTTTAAGCTACTACTTTAGTTATTATTATTAAGTTCTATACCCCCGGATCTACCCTTATATATAATAAGGAATTAATTAAATTAATAAAGGCTAGTTTTACTATTTACTATTTTTAACTTTTTATATTATTTATATAATTTAATACGCTTTTTTTTAGAATAGTTACTTAATTAATACTTTTTTTTTATAAATATAGTATTACTTTTTTTATTACTCTATTTATAAGTTAAATCTCGGCTTATTTAACGAATCTAGGCCTCTTTACTAATAATTACTATATTTAGCCTCTTTCTTTTTTTTATTATATATTTAATTAACTTAATATTATTAATAAGGGCCGTTATATACTTAAAAGTAAGTTTAGCGTAGTATTTTTATTTTAATATTAAAACTAGATCTTAGTTTTAAATAGAGCGTTTTATAGTTTTTAAGTACTTAGTATAGGGTTATTTTTATTTTTAATATATACTAAACTATAGTATAAAAATATCCGATTTTTTATTTATTAATTCCCTTATTTAGCTAGGTTTTTATTAACTTATTAATTTAATTAATAAGCTTTTTAAAGATCTTTACTTACGATTTACTTTTTATTATCCTAGCTATAAATATAAAAAAAATTACTTATAGCTTAGATAAGAGCTTTAGGTTCTTATTATAAATCTTAAAATAGCTTCGAATTATATTAATAATACTAAGAAAGTCGTTTTAATTAAGATTATATATTACTTTATAATAATAATTAAAAGCTTTATTTATAAATATAATATTAATTACTAAATAGTACTAGTATTTTCTAATCTTAACCTTTTTATAGTAGTTATAAAATATCGTTAGGGTTTTTTATAAAACTTTATACTTCTTTTTAAAGTATAATTTTTTTTTAAAAAAATCTTTTTAAAATTAGTAAATTACCTTATATTTACTACTATATTTTTAGTATTTATATACGATCCCTACGTAGTTATATATTATTAATAACTTTAGGTTATTTATTTTTTTTATTAACTAA